TATATATATATATATATATATATATTGTAGACAAACACCCACCCAACAAGATTGTTTACCCAGAAAACAAGAGGGAATCCGCAAGAGCACGTCAATAAGTAGGCCTACTAATTACCGTTCGTAACTTTGGTTAAAAAGAAATTAAACTTCCATTATAGTGGCAATGATCATTAAACTGAAAACAAACAATGAAAAACAAAATAGTAATTCAATCATTAAACTTGCATTATAGTAGCAATGATCATTAAACTGAAAACAAACAATGAAAAACAAAATAGTAATTCAATCATTAAACTTGCATTATCGCAGCCGTGTAAATGTGCGCCATAGCCCCCCCCCCCGGGTTCGCTTGTTATTGACAATATGGAGCAGCCCCCAGTGGCACAGCGGTATGTCTGCGGACTTACAACGCTAGAATCCAGTTTTCGATACCCGTGATGGGCAGAGCACAGATAGCCCATTGTGTAGCTTGGTGCTTAATTACAAACGAACATACAATATGGAGCAAAGTGAATTTGTCATAGCAGTGTTTTTGAATTTATCTAAAACATTTGATTGTGAAAAATCACAAGATATTGTTAAAAAAAAATAAGAGGTGAAATGTTTAATTGGTTGGAGAATGATTTAAAAAAATCAACAGGTTATATTAACAAATATTATAATAAACTAATAAATGCAAGAGATACTCCTGGTGGCTCCGTACTGGGGCTACCATTATTATTACATCTTAATGAAATAGGTTTATTATTCGAAACAAAGCCGATTTTATTTGCAGATGATACTACAATTTTAGCTCATAATAAGAAGTTAAGGTCTTTAATTGAAATGATTACTTTGTCATTAGGTAGGTTAAACTACCGTCTTAGTGGTAATGATTTATTTGTAAATCTGGAAAATACCGAATTTTATTTAATTAAATTATTTCATCATAGATAGATATCACAATGAAAAATTAAATGGATCCGAGCACCTAAGAACTTTTACAAAACGGTTGGAAGGTATAAACAAAATATAAATACTAGTTAATAACAGCAAATGTTTAATAACATTATAATAATGCAGAAAATTATTAGTACTTACTCACATTACTTACTTACTTCATTAGTATTAATTAAACCTAATCATCATACTCCATTTTCTAGTTATTTTATTTACCATTATAGTTTAATAAACCATCGGATTTATTGCATTCATATAAATTATTTCGTTGATATCTGCTTATGTAAAATATCATAAGATTTCAGTATTCAAGCTGATATATATATATATATATATATATATAGACAGGCATTAAGTAATTTTTGATAGTTACAAACATTAGCCACGGGTGTAGTTTTATTGTAGTTTATATCTTGTGAAATAATAGCTTCAAATGAAAACATATCCTCTTACAAAATGGGGATGACTTTACAATAAAAAAAAAAAAAGATATAGAATCAAGGCCAACATATTTTGGTTTTTCCTTGTGTTGAACTCGTGCCATTCACTTAACTAAAAGGTCGTCACGTTAACATTGAAAGTGTGTTCCCAAGCGCCCACACTTACGTGAATACTTCTCCTTTCTCTGTCATGTATTCTGATCCTTTCCGGTTGGGAAATTTATTTCACGTAACGGGGGGTTACTGGCCTAAAATAAAATGCTAAAAAGAAAAACCTAGTATCATAATGGTGTATGTGTGACAAAACACGCGGTCTTCACTTTTTCAGTTTAGAAACAGGATGAAAAGTAGACTGGACACCTTTTACTACTAAAAAAAGCCGGAAGTGTTTGTAACTTGTCGGATGGGTGAAACAAGCGACTCGCCTCATGGTTAATGTATTAGCACATCAAATTCAAGGAAGTTGGAGTTTGTAACTACATGTTAATGTGTTGTAAATTGTACTATTCATTCAACACCAATGCAGCAAATAGATCACATTATATTTGTTGTTTCGTCGCTTTGTACTTCTACGTCTACAAATTGGAACACACCTAACGCTTTGAATTATAAGTTGTTTTATCATTGCAGTGCATCTGAATTTCGTTCAAGGCGAGTCTTAGGTGATTGATTTTAAAGTTAATACGATTAAATTTACCCATAATGTTCAACCTCGTGATATACTTATACTATCAATCAAAAATGTAAACAAAAATGTGACAAGTATACAAGTAAACAAAAAATAAGAGTGATGAAGGGATGGCAATGCCATAAGTACAGAAACAAGGTAAAGATGAATACACAAAACCATACAAAAACCACATAAGTAGCCAAATCTTTCAAAGAAAACTTATCTACAGCTAGATGTTGAATTTCTTTCATTTGCATGAATTCGAGTTTAAATAAAAGCATTTAAACTGAATAATGATACAAGTTCTTACAATGACTAATTCCCATAAGCTTGTAACATTGACTCAGTGGCTACTAACGTAGGGAATTTTTTTCTCTCTATGGTTTGGTGTATTTAGCCTTACCTTGCTTCTGTATTTTTTGGCATTGCTATCCCTACATCATCCTCATTTTATTATTATTATTTTTTTTTATTTATTTGTTTCCCCCTCTTTTTTTTTTTTAAACAATACCAATGAATATTCTATAACGAATGGCAGTCGCTGTGAAGGCAGCAGTTTTAGCCTGGGGTGATGAGTTGTCTTGATGGACATCATGTGTTGAAGTTAGTGAAACGCTATACCGCTTCTGCACTCCCAAATTTAAAATTCAACATTTTGGTGTGAAAATTATCGCTCAAGCATTGGTGAGCTAGCCCTACTAACCAGAATTGGAATAAATCAGTAGAACATCTGGTCGTTACGCTACTCGCGGGTTCTCGACTTTAGCGATGCTTTTTGAGTAAACTGTAGGTTTTAATAGGTTTTGAAAACCTCGAAAACCTAAGTCAGGTGTTTATAAAAGTCTCTTAGATTGTTATAAGAGATTTGATACAGTTTATGATGAACAATACATAATATGCATCGGCCAATTTCTTTCCCAGCCCTCTATAATAAGCACTACAGTGCTTGGTGATAACTAGCCTGCAAACATTAGGTTTCACTTATATGCGATTTTAAATCATACAAACACACACACACACACACAAAGAAAAAAATGCAGCTGAAAAAGGGGATGTTAAAATTAATATACTTTTAGCTTTATTGACCGAGAATCGAGCCTCATATTTCACTAAAATAGTATGCATATCGTAATTCTATACCTGTAACAAACATAACTGTTTGCATAATTTTGTGTTAAACATATACAAAATGTTAAAAAGCTACGATATTGTTTCACATGTTAAAAAAAAAAAAAGAAAACTTAAATCAATAAACCCCTTGTTTGTTTGATTTATTTAGCACAAATATTTACGTAAGCTGTCAGACTCTGCCCAACACAGAGAATGAAACCCCGAATTTTAGCGTTGTAAATCCACAAGCTTACCACTGACCCTCTGAGTGGCAAAAAATCAAATTCGTAGATGTGAAATTTGACATTTTTTGAAAGGCAAGTTACATACCCAGCTCTGCCCTTGGTGAAAGCCCGATAGATTCGGTGAAAATCTACAAGTGAATTTTCAGTCTATAACAGGCTTTCTTTCTTTTTTTTTTGAAACTCTTGTAATATACTTTAAATGTCTTACCTAAAGCTTAAGATTATTTTAAGGAAGCTGCACTTCTCCATATTTTTTTTTTTCTTTTGAAAACGTGGAAAACACGCACAAGTTGGC